ACCACCACCACCTCGTGCCCCCTCTGGCTGAGTTTCTCCACCACGACACGCATGCTGAGCCAGTGACTCCCGCTCATGGGTACAACCAGCAGCTTGCCGGCTCCAGCAAAGCCAGATGTCAGCAGAAGCCAGGCACACAGAGCAAGGAAGCCCGTCAGAGCTGCAGGCGCCATTGGGGAGCTCACAGCAACCCAGAGCAACCTGCTGCTTGGATTCAAAGCTGGTGTAATAAGCTTGCCTGGAAAAACAAGATATAAAACCTGCCTCATGAGAGGGTGTGTATTCTGACACTGTTACGAAATGTGCAGTCATTGTCGGTGACTTACTCATGAACACCATAAAGAATGAGCGGAATTACCGAGGCGGCTTTTGAGGAATTCTCAAATGAGTAGCTTCTGATCCTTGCCTTGGCCGCGGATCATATCCAGTACAATGTGAATTCAGAACAAAAATTATTATTCAATGTATTCTCAAGGACATAATTTAAAAATTATATAGGAAGTGGCTGACATTGTCAGAGAGGGTGACAGCAAAGTACTTCCATATAAAATTTCAGCGCAGCATTTTTGGGTAGAAATGGGTTTTTTTTTAAGATTTCTGAAGCAGCAATAAAACAATAAGTAACTACAACTACACTGAATATGAATGGATAAAATGCACTGGTCAAGAGAAAAAGAGGAACAGAACGGTTAAGAAAACAGGACTCATCAAATATGATGTCTACAAGAGACACATAGTAAACAAGGATAAACACAGACTAAAAATTAGAAAGTGTGAAACTGTATCAAGCAAATGGCAATCAAAAAAGAGAAACAGTAGTAATATTAATTTCTGATAAAAAATATTCTTTGGGACAAAAAACAGCAGAAGAGACAAGGAAGAACACTATATAATGATCAAAGGGTCTTATAAACAAGAGGACACAACATAATTGTTAGCTATGCATCCAGCAGGAATCTCTGGTGGCCTAGCAGTAAAGAGCTATGCCAGCAGACCAAAGGCATGCAGTTTGAATCCACCAGCTGCTCCATGGAAGAAGGATGGGCAATCTCCTCTCATGCAATTTACTACCTCTGAAAACTTCTGAAATGTGTTGGTTCCAATCTGACAGCACACAGTAACAAGTAGTTGTTGTTGTTAGGTGCCGTCAAGTTGAATATTATTCCTAGCAACCCTGTCAATAAAAGATCTGGACCCTGCTCTATCCTGTGCCATCCTCACAGTTCCTGACACACAAGAGCCCATTTTAGCAGTCACCAATCCACCTGGTTAAGAGTCTTCCTTTTCTTTGTTGACCCTCCACCCCTCCCAGCATCATGCAACAACATGATTGTTGTCAGAAAAACAAGGCAAGAAAAGGAAATAAAAGGCACCCAAATTGGTAAGGAGTAAGTAAAAACTCTACTTGTAGATTATACGATCCTATTTATAGAACACCAAAATCCCAGCAAGAAAATGACTGGGGGAAAAACTGATAGAGCAAAGTGGGAGGGACCAAAACCAACACACAAACACCAGGCTGAATCCGCTATAGCAACAAAGAGAACTCTGAAAGGAAATCACGGAAACTATGCCCTTACACCAAGCCCTCAAAAGAGGAAATCTTTAAATCAAACCAGAGATGCAAAAGGCCCTACAAAGAAAATAACAAAATATTACTATAAAAAACCAAAAGATACATTCATATGATGGATTATGGAATACTGTGCAGTATTCAGGAGCAGTGATTTTAAAAAGTACTATGTAACTTTGAGCATGTTGCAAGGAGGAAACTGTCCTTGGAAAGGGACATCATGTTTGGGAGGTTGAAGGGACAGCGCAGGAAAGGAAGACCCTCGATGAGATGGATTGACTCAGTGACTGGGGTAATGGGGTGGATGTGTCAGAGACAATGAGGTTAACTCAGGATAGAGCAGGGTTCAGAACTGTTGTACCTGTAGAATCACTATTAGTAACAAGCAACTCAATGGCATATAACAACAACATATAACATGAGAGAGCCTAGAGACCAATATGCTGAGTGAACTAACTCAGGTGCATCAGAACAAACACTGGACAAGACACTCCTGTGAGAAGAGAAGCCTAACCGGAGAGATGTGTACGGACAGTCAAAGAGGGAAGGGGAGGAGACGGGGGCTGAGGGCACAGAGGGGGAATCCCAGGGTCACAGTCTGGTGGCTGGAGGGTAGGGGTAGGAAAAAAAATCAAATTATTGTATAAGAACCAATACAAATTTAAAACAAAAATAATAAAATACATATATAGAAAAATATGCCATGCTCATGTACTGCAAGACCTAACATTGTGAAAATGGCAAGACTACCAAAAGCAACCTAAAAATACGATACAATCCCAATCCAGATCCCATCATCATATTTATTTAATATTCTTTAAAAGGTTACTTAGACATAAAACATTGCTAGCCTCCAAGATCTCATGTGCAATTTCTATCTTAGAATGATCTTTATGGTATATTTTTAATAACATTTTTATTTTACATTAGATTACTTACAAAGTGTGTATACATTGTTTTTCACACCAGATCTTTCCCATTTCCTTTACCCACCCCTCCCTCCACTCATCAAATTTTGTGACCCTATAATTAACACGCCCCATCTCCACACACACCCCCCCACCTTTTTCCCTTTTTTTACCTCTCTCCCCACCTTGGATCCTCATATTCATTCTACAATAGTGGTCTTGTACAGTATTTGTCCTTATGAGACTGAGGTAGTCCGCTCAGCATAATAATCTCCAGTCCCTCCCAAGCTAGGTAGTGATTTACAGAATCATTGCTCCTGCATGCTTGTAGTAATCCATCATGTAAATGGACCATAATTTCTCAATTCATTCAATTGTAGTTGGACATTTGGGCTGTTTCGATGTTCTTGTGTTGGTGAATAACGCTTTGTGAACATTGGTGAACCCATAATCATTTTCCATAGATTGAAAAAGTAATGACTAATTTCAGGTGGAAAGAAAAGAGATCCCAGAGAAGAAAAGTGATACTAAAGAAGAAAACGAAAGCAGGAGGCCTTAAAGCCCTTGCCCTCAAAGTTTGCTACACAGTCACAGTGATTAAAGAACTTATTGTTGGTAGAATGAAAGGTAGATTGACCAAAGGAATAAAATTGAGGACCCAGAAATAAGTCCATTCACCTATAGGCAACTGAATTTTGACAAGGAGTGAAATTCATGAAGTAGGGAAAAGACTTCTTTTTAAATGGTGCTAGTGCAACCATCTACTTGCAGAAAATTGGAACAAGAGCCCTGATCTCATACCATACACAAAACTAACTCAAGATGCATCAAAGACCTAGGAATAAAACCCAACATTATAAAGGCCATTATGAATAAATGCGAACAAATTTAGAGGGCTAATCTTCAGTAGGAGCTCTGGTGGCTTTTTCTTCCAGATGAAAACATCAAATAGGGAGCAAACTGAGAAAGTTAACATCCTGGAAAATTCCAGTGCCTCAACATAAAGTTGTGCCAAGAAATCTGGAGAATAACCACCTGGTCAACTAACTGGAAGAGATTTATATTTGTTCCCATCCCAAAGAAGGGTGACCAAACACATGCAAGCAAGATTCCACTGAAGATTATACAAAAACAACTGGAACAGCACATCAGTAGAGAACTGCCAGAAATCCAGGCTGGATTTAGAAGGGGTCGTGGTACTAGGGATATTGTAGCTAATGTTAGATGGATCTTAGTTGAAAGCAGGGAATATCAGAGGAATTTCCATCTGTGTTTCATTGATTATGCAAAGGCGTTTGACTGTGTGGATTATAACAAACTGTGGCTGACTCTGAGAAGAATGGGAATCCCAGAACACTTGATCATGCTAATGTGAAACCTACACTTGGACCAAGAGGCAGTCGTCAGAACAGAGCAAGGAAACACTGTATGGTTCAAAATTGGGAAGGGTGTACACCAGGGATGTGTCCTGTCTCCATACCTTTTCAAACTGTATGCAGAACAGATTATCTGGGAGGCTGGGCTCTATGAGGAGAAGTGTGGCAGCAGAATTGTGGAAGATCTATTGACAAATTGTGTTATGCAGATGACACAACCCTGCTTGCTGAAACTGAAGAGGACCTGAAGCACTTGCTACAGAGGGTAAGGACTGCAGCCTTCAATATAGATTAAGGCTCAATATCAAGAAGACAATAATTCTCACATTGGATCAATTGGCAGCATCAGGATGGATGGTGAATGGATTAAGATTATTCACAGCTTTAGTTTGCTTGTCTCCACAGTCAACACTCTTGGAACAAGCAGCCAGGAAATTAAAAGACATTGCCATGGGAAAGTCTGCTGTTAGGGACCTCTCCAAAGTACTGAAGAACAATGGTGTCACTCTGGAGACTAAGGTGCATCTAATACAGGCCATGGTCTTTACAATTACAAGTTATGCATCAGATAGTTGGACAATGACTAGGGAGGATAGAAGGAGAATTGATTCCTTTGAGCTGTGGTGCTGGAGAAGAGTATAGAGTGTACCATGTACTGCTAAGAAAACAAATTCATCCTAGAGAGGGTTAAACTGGGCTGCTCCTTGGAGGCAAGGATTCTGAGGCTTCATCTGACATACTTTGGACATGTTGTAAGGAGAGACCAGTCCTTGGAGAGGGACATCATGCTTGGTAGGGTGGAGGGATGGCGCAGGAGGAGAAGACCCTCTATGAGGTGGATTGATTCAATGACTGGGGTAATCAGATGGCTATGTCAGAGACAGTGCAATTGACACAGGACAGAGCAGGTTTTAGGGCTGTTGTACATAGGGTCGCTATGAATGGCAAGCGACTCGATGGCACATAACAACATAATATTCACAAGTCACAGAAAGAACAGAGAAGTA